GTGGCTCGATCTGATTTTAATGTTCTTAACAGTCATTGCTATTCCATGTATTTAAATCGTTGTAAATTTGAATTTACAAATGATCCGAAGCAATTTTATAACTTTGTCAACGCAAAGCGTAAGTCATCAGCTTTGCCTTCATCGGTTCGATTTAACTCAATGGAGGCATCGACTGACTCTGAAATTGCTGATTTATTCTCTGACTTTTTCCAAACTACTTATAGCTCTTCTTCATGGTCAGAATCAAATTACCGTAATCCCTTAAATAGGGCAAATTGTATTTTTTCCCCTATAATTACCGAAAGTTCTCTCTTAAGAGATTTAACATCAACAACGCCAACTTATTCTCCCGGTCCTGATGGACTTCCTGGGTGTGTGCTTAAGTTTTGTGCATCAACCATCTGCAAACCTATTCTTAAACTTTTTCAATTGTCTATTTCATCATCAGTTTTTCCAACTATCTGGAAGGATTCTTTTATTATTCCACTTCACAAAAAGGGTGCGAAGGCGGATGCCCAGAATTATAGAGGTATTTCTAAATTGTCGGCTATTCCAAAAGCCTTTGAACGTATTATCACTTCTCATTTGCAACATTTATGTTCCTCGCTAATATCACCGTGTCAGCACGGTTTTGTTAAGCGAAGATCGACTACCACCAACCTACTTGAATTGTCATCAATTGTAATAAATGGATTTAACAAAAAAATGCAGACTGACGTTGTATATACAGATTTCAGTAAAGCCTTTGACTCTGTTAACCACTCTCTTCTTTTATTCAAATTAGATTTGCTTGGGTTTCCATGTAATCTATTAACTTGGATTTCAAGCTATTTGAATGGGAGGACTCAGAGGGTTATATTTAAGAACGCTGTTTCAAAAACGATCCATGTGACATCTGGAGTACCTCAGGGTAGTCATTTGGGCCCTTTGCTGTTTACTTTGTTTATTAACGATCTTCCCTCTATTGTAACACATTCTCGTGTACTAATGTATGCGGATGATGTTAAGCTTTGTTTGACATATAATAATATAGAGTCTGGTTTTGGTTTACAATCAGACATTGATCAATTTCAAGTATGGTGTGAGTATAACCTCTTAAATTTCAACTGCCTAAAATGCAACGTAATGACCTTTTATAGGGTCACCCCTACCTTTATAAGTTATTCGCTTCAGAATTTGCCACTTGACCGTATATATTCAGTAAATGATTTAGGCGTTCTTCTGGACCCGAAGCTTAAATTTGACTGCCACATAATGTCGACAGTCAATAAAGCTATGAGTGTTCTTGGGTTTATAAAGCGTTGGTCAAAAGAATTTGATGACCCTTATATAACCAAATTATTATTTACCTCCCTTGTCCATCCTATATTGGAATATTGTTCTTCGGTTTGGAGCCCACAATACCAAGTCCACATTGACCGTATAGAGTCGGTACAAAAAAATTTCTCCTTTTTGCCCTTCGTAGTTTGAACTGGGATCAAAACGTAAGGCTACCTTCCTACCAGAGTAGATTATTATTGCTTAATTTACCGACACTTGCAAATCGTAGAAAAATGCTTGGTACCATTTTTATGCATAATCTTATAAGAGGTGATATTGATTCTGTAGAGCTTGTTAGCCGCCTAACTTTTAATGTTCCCGTTAGACTAACACGTAATTATCATCCTCTTAATTTACCTCGATGTACATCAAATTTTGGTCTGCACGAGCCCTTTCGCGTTCTATGTAATAACTATAATGTTCTTTATCATTTAATTTGCACATCAACTTCTATCCCGGTATTAAAAACTAACATTTTAACTCATTTGCTTCACTCCTAACTGCATGTTTTTTTTCATTATTGGTCCCGTCTTAATGGGTTTTATGTATTCTTCCTCGCGAACTCGCATTTTTGCCCAAATTTACAAAAGGGCCCCGCGCGTAACAAGCACGTGCTTGGTGTCGTTGGGCCACTTGTTTGTACTTCTCGTAGTGCATCAACGTCCATCATATAACAGACACGGGCACAGCGTATAAAAACAGTATAACAAGAGATTTATGTAAATATATAAAAATTGACAACATCTCATCGACTGCAAACCACCATCAAACCCTAGGGACTATTGAAATCAGTCACCGAACGTTTAACGAATATGTCCCTTCATATATTTCAAGTGACAAAAGTGATTGGGACATATGGTTGAAATATTTCACGTACTGTTATAACACTACACCATCAGTCACGCATAATTATTGTCCGTACGAATTCGGAAGACCAGCTCAAAATTTATAGATATTTCTAAAATAAATCAAATAGATCCCATATACAACATAGATGATTATGCTAAAGAAGTTAAGTTTAGGTTCGAATCAGCATACAAACGGGCAAGAACCATGCTGGAAAGGGAAAAAGAAAAGCGAAAAACCCTATACGATAAAGACGTAAATAATTTCGATCTTAAAGTCAGAGATCAAGTCTTACTTAAAAATGAAACATGGCACAATCTAGATAAGAACTTTCTAGGACCATTTAAGGTCGTAAGTATTAACGATAGAAATAATATAAAAATTATAGACAGTAAAAAGAAGCAACAGGTAGTAAGCAAAGACAGATTAAAACCTTTTTATAGCTAATAACTTAAAATAATCAAACTGAAAAAAATATATATATAATAAAATATAATATATATATAATATATATATATATATATATATAATAAATTTTAATAATGATAAAACTTCAAATCATTTTATTGAATTTTATTTAAATTTTTTATCAGTAATTCAAAATCTAAAATAATAATAAGATATCTTTAGACCGACTTCTTTAATATATACGTCATACTTTTTAACGGGGGAGGTGTAGCGAGCGAAGTACTTGATATATATTATTTTACCTATTTACTTCATTAAATATATATATTCATATATATGCACATATTTATACACACTTATTAATCTCAACATTTGGTCGACAACGGTCATGCTAAAATGCTGACTATGCATTCCCACGGTGCCGGCTGGTTGTCGCTCGCTAACACATTGAGCCAGCCGTCTCAGGGCATATATGTGTGTACGTGAATATGCTAACGTTGCATTTACTTCGCCCGCTGCTCACTTAATTCTAGCAGCTAAGAATGTTTGACTTTTGGATAAATTCACTCTCAAACTGGACGTCTCGCTCGGGATGCTTATTAGTTCTCTATTTGACATATACACTGGTGGCAAAAAAAAATAGAAACGATTTGGTAGAGCCTGATTTCTTCTCATTTTCTCACTAATTAAACCTGATATAAATTTGGTTATAATTTTTGTTTAAAGTGTATTCTAGAACCTTAATTTACAACAAGCGAGAGATTTAAAAAAAAAATGTAAGTCCAAAAAAATTAATTCTTATTATAGCCCGATATTTTTGTGGAGAAAATAATAGAAACGTTCGCAAATTATACCAAAATTTTGGCTTATTCCCGTTACAATCGTAAGTGAATGTGTTGTGTTATGATACATTAAACAAAAAATTTACGAATTTGGCTGGCCATCTAGTTCCCAACAACGCATTTAGGTAGTTTGCAGTTACCATTCTGTTTTTATACCCTTGCAGAGGGTATTATAATTTCAGTCAGATATTTGCATCGCAGTGAAGGAGACGTTTCCGACCACATGAAGTATATATATTCTTGATCAGCATCAATAGCCGAGTCCATCTAGCCATGTCCGTCTGTCCGTTTCTATGCGAACTAGTCCCTCAGTTTTAAAGCTAACGCGATGAAACTTTCCCAAAAGTCTTCCTTCTATTGCAGGTAGTACATATGTCGGAGCGAGCCGGATCGGACCACTATATCTTATGGCTCCTATAGGAATAATCAAATAAATAATAGAAAAACCATTGTAACTTTGTAGAAAGTAGGCGTTTTGATTTTTGACATTGTAAAAACAATATTTTAAGTAGGCATACCTGCAAGGGTATATAAACTTCTGCTGGCCGAATTTAACTTCCTTTCTTGTTAAGTTGTACAAGTACGGGATCGCTTTTTAAGGACTTGTGATCTCTCAAATTGCCTTTTGAAATGTTCTTCTTTATAAATGTAGGCTATTTTGAAGAAATGGAGTAGTTAACTCTGCCCAAAATAAAGAAAACACGGAACATAAAGGCAACAATTTTAAGGTTATCTTCGATTTTAATGTTAAAAAAAATCTTAAAAATTCAATAATTTTTACCAGCTGAAAAAATTACCTAAAAAATAAGGTATGTTTTATTAAGATCGGTCCACAACTTACTGAAATACAATTAGCGATGTAATCATATTCAAAACTACTTTGCCGAAAAGCACGATTTACATAAAAATTTCCGAACATGCGAAGCATGAATCTAATCATGTATGTCGGGTTGGTGTCCGACTATCTAATCGCTATCACTCATCTAAAGGGAGTGCAAGGGAGATGGATATATAACATTTCGATTGCGCATAACTTTTAAATGAATGGTCCGATTTGAAAAATGTCTTCTACATTTCGATAGGTATATTTATACGCAACAAAATTGCATTGTTATTGGCGATTGTTTGCGTTAGAGGGGGCGTGGCGCTCGGCTGAAATAAACTTGACTGCGTAGGAATCCCAAGAATATGTGTGGGAAATCTCAACCTTCTAGCTTTTGTAGTTTCCGAGATCTCAGCGTTCATACGGACGGACAGACAAACAGACAGACAGAGAGACAGACGTACAGACGGACATGGCTAGATCGACTCAGCTAGTGACCCTGATCAAGAATATATATACTTTATGGGGTGAGAAACGCTTCTTTCAAGCTGTTACATACTTTCGCACGAATACGATATACCCTTTTACTCTACGAGTAACGGGTATAAAAATGTGGAAAATCAAAAGTTGCACTACTAACTTAATACACATCAATTAAGCTTTGAATAGTTTTGAATTCAATTTAAAATTGCTGTTACATTTTACGTGTTGCATGGTATTTGATACGCACACTACTTACTCTGTAGAAAAATCTACCTTACCGTTTTATTTCCAAGATTCTTAATGCGACAGTTCAGATGTCCAGTTTTTCCAACCAACGATGTAACATTTTTGGTTGCTGAAGTATCAAAATAGGGACCTCTGTTCAGGACCGTACTCACTATATTTTCTTCACTTAATAGATAGCGGTCTGTCATTGGTACCGCGTTTTTTTGGCAAGTTTCCCTTAAAATTACTAAGCAAGTTATTACATTTTTGTGTTCCAAATTATAACAATATACTTACAAATACAAAGAAATAACCGGAAAGTCAAGAAAATTCTCATTTTAATGCTTTTATCTCTCAAACATAATACAATATTCAGCACTAAATGCGGGCTGAGTGTTGCGTTTTTAATATTATATTACACATGCGCAAACGCATGCGCAATAATAGGAAAAATGTTATACATTTTAATTAAAATATATTGTTGTAAACAATTTTAAATGGAATTATAATAAACATTTATAAAGACATTTCCGACCCAATAAAAAATAAATATAACTCATTCTAAAATTTTTTAAAATAAGTATAAATTTGTATGAGAATATTTCTTTACTTTTGGCGACTTTTTACTTTATGAGGATTTTTAGCGTACTCGAGATGAAGTGTCCGTCTAAAAAATATTAAGTTAGAATCAGGGACCGTAAATAATCATTATTTGAGATTTTTATTTTTAAAAGACTACTGTGATATTTTGTTTTAAACGTCAAAAATAACGTTCTTTTTACTCTTGTCTACAAAGTATATGCATTTCAACAAATCTGGAAAGCAAATTAACTGTTATTTGTTCATGTCTATAAAGTGCATAAAAACCATTTAAATTGTTGATTAAAACTTGTAAAAACCTCAGAAGGCCTTTTAAAATAAAAATCTAAAATAATGATTACACTAGTTTACAACTTTAAATTTTTTTTCGAGATAAACGCAGAGACCAATTTTTTTGATTAGTTTTGAGTGGCTGATCACGCTGAACAAATTAAAAAAAATTCCCAAAGAACCGTTCTGAAGATATTCGCAAAAATCCAGATTTTCGGTACTTCTTTTATAAAACCTTACAGATCTCAAAAACCCTTAAACCACTAAACTTGTACCTTACACTATTTAAAAGGCAATAGACGCACCTTTCCGAAAAACTATTACTCGTTGTGATCGGGTTGCAATTAATGGAGGTACAACCTATGAAAGTTCAAAAACAGTTTCATTTCTGGCGTTTTTTTGTTATAGCTAGTTTTCATTTACTTAAAAAAAATACAAGTAAAAATGTATAAAATATATAATATATATAAATATTGCAAAATTTTGCAAAATGGTCACAAAATTGTTGATAAAAAAAGTAAGCAATATAAGTAAGTAAATTAGCGCGTGTGTCGATAGACAAAGGTATTTTGAATATATTGTCAAAATTTCAGATTGATCGGTTATGATTTGTTCGAGTTATGTGTCAGGCCGTCTCAAAAAAAGTGGTTTCGAGAAAAACGCGTATAAAGTTTTAAGGTGCCCGGGATATACTTGTGAGGCATCTCTAAGGCGGATTCTATATTTTGGTATGTTATTTTTGAAACCCTAACCAAATTTTAATATTTTTCAATTCTTAAGCGAAATGTAAAAACAAAATGGAAATCCGATCATTTTTAGCAGAGGTACAGTGAACACTGCAAAACGCCTTTTTTAATAATGTTCCAGCAATCGCTTTGCCACCGATATATTCGCCGATAGTATCGGCTATAAAAATTAGTGGATGTTATTAAAATGGCACTTAAAAATATATTAAAGGTTTGAATTTAATCCTTCCAACCAGTTTTTATAGAAAAAACCACAACAGATCAAAGACATTTTCTTACAGATTTTTTTGTTTTAAAATACAAATTGCATTGAAAATATTAAAATAAAACGAAATATTCAAATCATTTGATTCTATTGCCCTTACTTACAAGTGCCTCAAAATGTTTAAACAATTTGATTCACGGCATCCCCTTCCACCTGCCTTCCTTATTACACTAGTTTACAAAATAAAATCGACCTCACCCTAATCGAAGGCAACCTTAATTTTCCGGTAAAGTACATCTCCCTGATTAGGAAATGGGCACTTATAATTTTTTGTATGGTGTCAATTTTTTTTAAGTGTAAAACGAGATTTTAAATTTTTAGTGTTGGGCAACGTCAGAATTTTGTGCAAGTAGTTATGCATAACGTCAGTTTCTGTGCTATTAGTGCTGTGCAAGCTGAAAAGTATGCGATTTCATTATTTCTTTGTTTTGCGGTTACGGTTTCTTTATTTAATTTTATTTAATTTAATTTAACGCAGTATAAAACTAAACCTTAAAAATAGTTTTGGCTTCTTATTTGCTTCTTGTAGGAGCTATTGTCCGTTTCCCGAATAAGAAACCAAATATAATCGCCCATCATAGCGGCATCCCAAAAGCCATTGTATCGGCGCTCTATGTCCTTCATTTGCTGATGAAATCGCTCCCCATGCTCATCACTAACAGCTCCTAAATTCTCCGGAAAGAAGTCCAAGGTCGAGTCAAGAAAATGAATCTTTAGAGACATATGCACTCCTGCCAAAACAAACATAGACATAATAAACATTACTTTTAAAAGGTTATAATAGCTTACCCATAGCCTTATAGTTTTTAAGTAGGTTCCTTACAATAGTTTTGTAATTTCCCGCTTTGTTGTTTCCGAGAAAGTTTTCAACCACCAGCCTAAAAGACTTCCACGCTGCCGCTTCCTTAGAAGATAACAGCGTTGTGAACTTATTGTCCTTTAATAATTTCTTAATTTCAGGACCTGCAAAAACGCCCTTTTTAATTTTAGCGTAGGACAGTGCTGGGAAAATGGTAATTAAATATGTAAATGCGGCGCTTTCTTTGTTAAGGGCTTTGATAAAGTTTTTTACTAGGCCCAATTTTATATGAAGCGGTGGGAGAATAATATTTTCCTTATTTACTATTGGGTTATATTTAATATTGTTTTGTCCAATCACAGCGCGTTTTCTAGGTTCCCACTTTTTTTTACATAGTGCTGTGAGTCTGCTCGGCTGTCCCAAAGACAGAGGAAACAGCAGTTTTCGGTATAACCTCCTTGCATCCCACAGATCATGCCAACAACCTTTAGGTCTGCACAGATCTTCCACTGAAATTCGTCATATTTGATTAATTTCAGCAGTGCTACCATTGTCTCATATGACTCCTTCGTGTTTACTGCGTGGGCGATAGGTAGAGATGGTTTCTCATTACCTTTATGCAATAAGACAACCTTTAAACTCTCCTTGCTGCCGTCAATAAACAACCTCCACTCCATTGGTATGTGGTTTCCATTGAGCTCTTTAAACAAAGCGTCAATATCATTACAAAAACAAATACTGTCCTGTTTTGAAAAGTACTTCGAAAATTTTTCGTGGCGACTTCTGTAAATTGACGAATTAACATTCTGGTTTAAAAAGCCATGCTGCTTCATTCGAGAAGCCAGCAATTCAGACTTTTCTTTAGTTAGCTCAAGATCTCTAATTAAATCGTTCAGAGTCTCTTGTGTGAGCTTTTCCAATTCCGGCAACGTTTCGGAATCATTTGAAACGCATGTTTCCTCTGAACTTTCATCCGTAGCAACACGGGTCAAATTTTCAGAAAACTTAGAAGCGTTAGGAAAGGTAACTGACTGAACTTCCGCGTAATTCCAGGTGGCCGAACGCCCCACCCCACATAACTTGCTTAAGCAGAAGTAGCAATCAACTGAGTGATTTTGGGGCTCTCTCCAAATCATTGGCGTTTTGAACCAAAAAGCAGATCTACATATATGAAAATTGTATTTTATTGGCGGCCGAATGTGCAAATTTATAATAGCGTACCATCGGGTTTTAGACCATTTATATAAATTTACACGACACAAAACACACACAACATTTGGTGTCCACTTGGAATTGAATTTTGAGAAATTCCGAGAAAAACATTCTTTGTACCATTCTCGCATTTTATTATTAAAAACTAGAATTTCTGAACGTTTCTTCTTAACGTATTTACCGCATACAAAACAAAAATCATTAGGATCATTTAAACAATTAAACAGTCTTTTATAATCCATGTCAAGCTTTTTGCCAAATCATTAAATGTTTTCCTCGTAACTGCAATCGCATACTTTTCACTTTGCACAGCACTAATAGCACAGAAACTGACGTTATGCATAGCTACTTGCACAAAATTCTGACGTTACCCAACACTAAAAATTTAAAATCTCGTTTAACGGCCTCTGCTCCAAAATGCTGAGCCTAGGTACATACGATTAAAAATCTGTCAAAAATCTATTTACCGACGGATTGTCGTGATCAATGGCTCAATTTCTTCGTTAAAGATCAATCTTTAAGAATAAACTATAAAACTAATTTCGGTTTTTAGGCGTGTATTTTTTATGACCCGATTTATGCCTTCCAAACTTGAATTTTACATGCTTTTTTAGACTTTGACGAGGTGTGGCTTCTAAAATAATGACTGAAACTCAATGCTGTGTATAAAAAAGTTAAAGAGCAGTATATTACCTGTAAAATGAGTCATCGATGACCTCAGTCGGTTTACCAGAACTCAAGATAAAAAATAAAAAAGGGCCAAAAACGTTTTTTACTCTTAAAAAAAAATTGACACCATACAAAAAATTATAAGTGCCCATTTCTTAATCAGGGAGATGTACTTTACCGGAAAATTAAGGTTGCCTTCGATTAGGGTGAGGTCGATTTTATTTTGTAAACTAGTGTTATTATTATTATTCTAATCAAGGTGAAAAATTAATGAAAACAAAAATACTGAAACAAAATACACTGTGCAGCATTCTTAATGCTTTTTAAATTTACCTCGATGGATGCTATATTTCGTTACGAATTCCCAAGTTAAAAATAGGACCTCAAAGTTCGAAAAATGCTAAAATTGGCCAACTTTCCAAATTTCGGAGTTAGTTATCGAAATGTTTTGTTAACGAATTATTTATTAAAAAGGTACTTAGTATTGTAGTTCTGGTTAAAATTTCATGGTAAAAGAAGTTGTAGTTATTGAGAAATTAATAAAAACAGACCGCCTTTGCAAAAAGTTTGAATCACTGTCGTGAAAAAATGTCCTCTTTTTGCCATGCAAAAAGCTGGCTGTGAAGAAGAAGACATGTAAGTAAAAACCCTGCAGGAAACGGAATCTGTTTTGGACTATTAAAATACTAGTTGGGTCAAGAAGGTTAACTAGTTCAAGTTATGTCCATTTCCTTGTAACGAAGTGGTCCATTTTTCATATGCTTGTCGTCGGAAACAACTAGTCCATTTGCTAGTAGTTTTGCACTAGTTACTGTTAACCAATTTACTGTTACAGCTGTT